TTAAAATGCAAAAATATGTTGTAGTTTTATGTTAATATACTTTTTATTTTAAAATATTCTACTGCGTTACTGTTCAACTGTGTTACTAAATTTAAGTAACACTACGGAAGACATGGTAAGAAAGTTGATTTTTAAGGCAGTTTACTCTAAGTTGGTGAATAAATTCTTAATAATTTTACATACAAATAGGCGATAACATATTTTATTGATTATTATACAAAATGCCACTATCTATTTATATTTTAAATATGTATATTGTTAAAAATGCAAATGAAAAACTTAACCGAATATATACAACTTCATCGAGAGGAAAAAAGTTAATATCTTAGCATATTAAACAACAGCATGAAATTTACTGTTTTTGTTTTAATTTTTTTTGTTAATATACTGAAGACTGAATCAAATTTTTCAACAGTGTTACTATATTTTCCACTGCGTTACTGTTTTGTCACAAAAAAAATCAAAAAAAAAATATTGTTTTAAGCTTTTTTCTTCAAATTTAAGCTCTTAATTTTTTTGTTATGGACATTTTTAGAATAAAAAATTAATTTCTAAAGCAGTTATGTAAAAATTCCTGCAAGAAAAAAACTATTAAATAGTTTTATTTTAAAAATAAAAACTTTAAATTTAAAATTAGTAACACAGTTGAAATAACTTATTATTTATTTTTTTATAAAAATGATTTTTCAATATTACAGAATAAATTTATTTATAACTTTAATTACAAATGAGAGTAAAATATGAAAATAATAATTTCCATTGAAGAGATCGAAAAATTTAAGATATTTTTATCGGTAACGTAGTTGAACTAAATTCAAACCTGAGCTTACTTTTTTGGTTATAATTTCTAAAATATTTACAAAATCTCCGGACCACTTGAGGATATTGTACATTATTATTATTAGGCAACTATAAAAAAATTATTTTAATAAAAAATTCTAAAAAAATAATTTGGAAAAAAAAAAATTCATTTGTGCAAACTTTTAAATTTTGACCCATATGCATATAGGAGTAAGTAATGAAGCATTTAACTCTCATGTATAATAATAAGTTTTTTGAATCATGTAATCATTGTATGATTACGGACTTGAACTCATTTTATAATATCATTATGTTTCAAAAAAAAAATTTTCATTCTCAATATTATTAAATTGTTTAAATATATGAAAATATACTTACATATTATTATACTTACATATTATGTATATATATATGCATCTATTATATGTGTATATAATATAAAGTGCAATAAATACTAAAGATTTAGCATGTTGTTAAGGTTTTGTGGTCTATTATACATTTTATTATAATATCGTTACCATTTTGTATTATTATAGAATTTTAAGTATTAATTATTTTTTGCATATTTAATATAATTACAGCTGAGATTTTCATATATACATGTAAATTATTTACATATCTATATTGATTTCATTTATAAAATTGCATTATTTTTGTAATATAAATCTTAAAAAAAAAAAAAAAATAAATTCAATTGAAATCGGTTATCGCCATTAAATATATGGTTAATGATTTCTAATAGTTTATCAACCTTTATTGCATACACAACCATCTAATACCAATATGTATATAACATAATGACTATGCATTATATGGTTTAAATTTACAATGTATATAAAGACCTTAAATTAAGTATTAAATTATTAGTTATTTTTAATAGTTATTATAAATGAAATAAATATAGATTTTGTGTGTAGCAAAGTATAACGTATTTGATATATACAAGTTATATGTAAGTTTTATATTACTGTGGTGAGATTATTGAGATTTCTAATGCCAGAAATTAAATCTCTTATACATATATATACTGATAATATTTTACCATTTTTTTTATAAATTAAATATTTTGCAATAAGTTTATAAGATTTATAGCCTTTTGAGAATTAGATATTGAATTTCTTTCATAACCTGACTATGTGTTCCTTTTTTAATTTAATTGATATATTAAAACTATATTAAATGAAGTAATAGAAGGTAGAAAATAATAGTGAATTTTATATCTACATATATACATAGAAGAGCTCATGTATGTATACGTTATATGCGGGTATTAAAGTGTAAAATATTTATAAAAAAAAATATTCCTTGCACATATTTATTGTATATATGCAGACTAAAAATAATATGGAATTTTTTTAATATCTATATAAGGCAATGACTATATATTTAAAGGGATATTATTTAAGAAAGAATAAATTGAATTTTTCATTATTATGCCAATTTATTTTCAACTAATAGAATATAGTAAACATAGTTATATTACAGAGTGTTTAACAGGCAAATAAGCGTAAATATTTTGTATTCTTCAATTAAGAGAAAATTATCAACTATATAGAATCATTTCTAAATAATAGGATATAGCAAAGTCTTTAAAAATCCAAGCAATTTTTATAATATGGTATGTATCTCACCTGCTTCTCTTTGTGTGTGAGAAATATAGTTTTTAAATAAGTACCTACATAAAATTTATGAGAAAACATTGTATTGGCTACCATATAATTCTTAAGTCTATTTCATGTGTATACATGTATGTATGGATGTACCGTGTTATACAACAAATTGATCACTCTGATTATTATGGATTCTTTATGAAGCGATCAAGTATCAATCAAATATTAATTTTAAATTCGAGTAAGCATTACTTAATAAGTATATTGATTGTATTTTTTAACCACCTTTTACACCATAATTTCCTAAAATTCTAAATTTATATTCTTATTTGTGTCTAGACTTGTATAATTTAAAGGAAGCATTAAGCAAGAAAAAATAGTGTAGCAAAAAAAAAAAATTGCTTTGAGAACTAAAAAAAAATGAAATAAAACAAGAACCAACTATTCTCTTTAAAAAATGCCTGAACCCTTTGGAATTACTTAAAAAAAATTTTCAAGAATTTTCTTATTTTCTTTTATTCCTCCATAATAATTAGCTTTTGAATTCTTTTTACTTTTAGTAAACGATGCGCGTTTGAAATTTTTTTTCTTATAATTTTTACTTTAACATTAAATTTATTTATTTTTTTGCTCAAGTCTGAAATTCTCTTCTTATACTAAGTATTATCAAATGAAAGTTAAACAGAAAATAATATAGAAGAAAAATATTGCACGTGTTGTGTTGTTCTCTGATCGTTAAAAGATAAAAAAGCGATCAGATAAAAAGCGATCTCATCGCATTGTTGAATTGGAAAATTGTTATATTATATAGTATAAAAGAAAGAGAAGAGAAAAATATTTAATTTTTTTGTTGTTGTTGTTTTTATTTTAATGTATTATTTTATCGTTATATTGCTATCGATATTATGTACAGCATGCACCACCGGCCGGCTAACCGGTCAAGGGCAAATCATTTTACATAATTATTTCTTCATTTTTTTTTTTTTTTATGTTATAAAAATTATTATGTCCTTATACAAAGTGTGCAAAATTTTTATAATCAAACCAATTATCATAAAAAATGAGTGATGTAAAATTTAAAATTAAAAAACAAAATAACTTGCACTTTTTATGTACAAAAAAGTTGTTATACAAGAAAATTTTATTCAAAGAATGAAAAATGTATACCCTTATAAAAAATATAAAAGAAAAACGAAAGTTACAGCGTTTAGTATCAGAATTTTATTAAAAAAATGTACTGAGAATTCGGTGTGTTCAAGTCATAAGACATGAAAAAACCAGGACACAAAAAATGATGTTGTATTTAATTATCATTTAATTTGAATTCCTGGAATTAAGTCTATTTTTATAAAAATCGAAAAAAAGAAAAAATTACGTACATATTTTCTCGTCCAGTTCCTTAAAAATACGTCTGCAATTTTTCACAATGCACAAGTGCATATTTTATGTTGTAGAATTTTTATAGATTGCGATTATAATTGTCAATGGAATTAATAATTAACTTTTAAGTTGTCTTGTCATATTTTCTTAAAATTAATTTAAATAGCAAAATAAATGATAAATTTTTAAGTATAACAATTTCGTATAAAATATTTAAAAAATTTTGATGCAAAGATGAAAAGTACAAATCAAATTCTAAAAAAAAGGAATTTGTATAATTAATTTGAACGCGTAATTCTTAGAAACGGTTTAGTTAAATACGAAAAATTTATTTTGAAAAAAACAAAAAATTCTTAGAAAAATCATAAGGGAATAAAATGGTAGCAATATTTTTTGTATAAAGAATGCAATGGGAAGACTGTCTAATATGTAAAATTCCACATAAATACCTATATGTACATACATATATGGCAAATGATCTGAAATTGTGAATGGTATTAAATTTCTAAAGAAGTAGAATATTTTTTCATTATTTAGAAAAGGTACATTTTAATGTTATGAATTATGAATAATAAAATAACAGTTGAATGTTAATTAAATTTTTAAGAAAATCAAAAAAAAATTTTTCGCTATAAGTTATAAATATACACATAAATGTAATGTACACAAATATAGTATAAGTAATTAGGATTGGAATGAAAAATATAGAAAGAATGCCAGAGAGGCTATACTCATGGAAAATTGTAAGGAATCGGACATATGGCTTACAAATATAATTAAAAACATTGGTCTTCAAAAATTGTCGCTAAAAACATGCCTTTTTACAATTTTATTGAAGAGTACTTGAAATTATTCGTAACATTAGTATACACTTCCATATATCGCAAGACGTAATTTTTATATTATAACCTTTAATAACCATTATACGTTTCACATTTGGGCTCAATTTTATTTACTGTTATTATTTTTCATTTAAAAGATTGCAAGAGAAAATAAGATTTGCGAATAATACACTTGATACTTAATTATTATTTGAAATATGTAGGAACTTTTGGTACCTTTTTCATTCTAAATTTTATAAAATTTCAAATTTCCTATATTACATGTTGCGAATTTATTGAAAAATTTCTAATAATAAGTTTTATAATAAAATTTTAATATTAATTCCAAATTTTATTAATTTTATTTTATATTTTTTTATTTTTACAGGCGTTAAACTATCAAAAGCTTCTGTTGTTGAGCTAGCTGAATCAATAATTGCAAGAAGTCGCCTTCTATCTCAAAGATTATTACTTATACTTTTTATAATACTATATAAAGCTATTTGTGCTACGTTATCGATATTGGTTCGTACATCAGCTAATCCATTATCTGTTGTTGCTGTCTGTGATAAACAAAATAAGGTAAACATTTTTTGTTTTCTTTTAATTTTTCATTTTCACCACAATTCGTTTCATTACAAGTTTTTCTTTTTAAATCGTAATTTCACTTTTTAATATCGTAAACTTAACTAAAATATATTTATTTTGCATTTTTTTTCTTTTTAGAATACCACACTTGGATTTTATGAAAGATTACAAATAAAAGTTGAAAAATTACAAAAACATAAAAAACGCTTAGATTCATTAAAAAGTTCTGATGAAATTTATGGTCATATTATAAGAGAAAATGTACAAATTTTAAAAATTCAACAAACAACACCAATTACACCAATTATAACATCAAATTTACCATCAACACCAATAGCAACACCAGTATCAAAAAATTTAAATAATTTTAATGATTCAATAATCAATAACAATAATAATAACAATAATGTAAAAGATGATGAATTTCATGCTGAAATAAAACGTTTACGAAAATTATATGGTGAAAAAGAATGTTCCTCAAATATATTTGGAAAAATTCAACAATTTAGTGAAATAAATTTTAATAGAAATCTTTTGGAAACTATATTTTTATATCCATTAGTATATGGAAGTATTTTGATTATGTTATGTCAAATTTATGTATTAGGTTGTGTATTAAATTCAACAACAATAACATTAGGATACATATTTTTAATTGGAAGTTTAGGAATAGTTGCCATTATAACATTTAAGGTAATTAAATTTTTTAAATTTTAATTTTAATCACTGATATTCAGATTGCAGTAATAATATGGAATTATAAGCTAAATTTTAGTTTATTTTCTAAATTGATTTTATTAGTAACAATACTATTTGACTGCAATTAGTATGTCATGTGATTTTTGATATGATTGAATTAATTATGTCATCAGTTGACAGATTATTTTATTTAAGTCTAATAAATTTATTTATTTTTTTTCTTTTTAGGTATTTTTCTCATATAAACTTCAAAAAGACAAAACAACCTCAAATAATAAAAAGTTCAATCAATCAAATGAACAAACAACAAATCAAAATAATAATGATGTTAATTTAATAGCAACATCAAATACAGCAACGACAACTGAAGCAAAAAGACAAAGTCGTTCGAGACTGAAAAAAGATATTGATTTGAGTAGTAAAACACTTAGTAAAATAAAATTACTTTGAATTATTCCAAAAGAAAAATATTCAAAATTAAATTATATTTAAGTTTAATTAATATTAAATTTTTTTTTTTTTTTATAAAGCCGTAGTTTAAATAGGTTTATTATGTTATAATTAATGAATAATTATGTAATAATTAAAATGAATCGTTTCCTATAGAATGTATGTGTATATGAAGTAAATTAAAATGAAATTATGTTTTAAGTAATTGTTTTTTTAATTAAAATGGGAAAAAGAAATAATTAAAATATTGTAAACTTTATATTTAAAAGATAAAGTTATACAAAATATTTAAAAAAGCTAGTAAAGAAAAAAAATCTTTTTAACCAAAAACATAAAATTAAGAATTAATAAAATCAATTAAAGAAAAAATAAATTAAAAATTAAATTCAAATTAAAAACTCAAATATTGTAATTTACTTATTAAATATCTGTTTTTTTTTTTTTTCATTGCAATTAATTTATAATTTTTGTACTTTTTATAATTATTTTATTTAGCTTCATTTTAAGAGGCATAATTCCGAAATTTAATTTAATTTGTTTTTTTATAAACATATTAAATTTTGTTTTAACTTCTCTTAATTTCTCTTATTTATTAAATTTTTTTTTTGTTTTATTTTAAAAGAAAAAAAAGGAAATAATTTTATTAATTTGGTAAATGAAATCTAATAAAAATAGCGTTCTTTAAATTGAAAATTGTGATTTCATTATTTAAAGTAAATTTTGAATATTTCATTCAATTAATTTTGATTGTAATAATGCTAAATACAATTTCCAATATTTGTATTATAATTCGATATTTTGCTAAAAATTTAATTGTATGTACATACATTTTCTTTTTCAAATTAAATTATTCGCATTTATTATTCATAATTAAAATTATTCAAAGAACTGAAAATGTTTTGTTTATTATCAAATTTGTGTACAACAATAATTTTCTGAATTTTATTAAAATCTCAATTATTTTACAAATATTGTGAATTAAAAATGAATAATCGCTATTTTATAAAACATTATTTAGCTTTGGAAGAAAATTTCAAATTGTTTGAATTCATTAAATAGAAGAAACAAAAAATATTTCCTTTTTCAAATAAAAAAAAAAAATGTACAAAATACTAAATATTATATTTTATACTCATTAATTTAATAATTAAATAAAATGGTCTCTTTTACTTATAAATTAAATGATCTTAAACTACATATTATTATGAGAATATTTCAAGATTGTATTAAGTTACTATAAATATATTATTAAACAATAATTATGATCTTATTAAGTTAATTTAATTAAATATATTATATTTAATATTAAATGATAATATCATTTACATTTATCAGAGAACAAAGGTATAAGTTAATAGAAATATAAAAATTTTTGTAATATTTTTAATTAAAAAAAAAAGAGAGAGAAAAAAAATACAAACAAAAAAAATAATATAAAATAAATGATAAATAATAAAATTAAAAAGTAAATAAAACATTTAAATAATTTGTAATTTTTTTTACGGGAACAAAACCTCTTTGTAACTTTCTCTAGGTAATTGTGGACTCTACTAAATTGATTGAAAGTCATACTTTATATAAAAAATGACTTAAAAATGACTTAGAGTTGGATCAATGTTTTAAAATGAAGTCCTTGATTTTTATTGTCAAAGCTAAATAACGACTACATTTATAACAAATGTTCTTTTTCTTTGTGTATTTCGGAAAAGGTTGGAATCATAGGGATAAGAATTGTATGTTCAAATTTTATGTTCAAATTTTAATTATTAGCTATTATGTATTTTTTTAAAGCATACCAAAAAAATTTATGTTTGCCATACAGTATGCAATTTTTTTTGTAATACGAATACATTTATGATTGGTGCTACATCTATTAAAAATTGGGAACTATTATATTTAAGAAAAATTTCATACACTCTTCATGTTTTCAGTATAGTTTATTAATTGAATTTAAAAATAAAAATTATAATCGAAATTTTTTCAAATTAAATTTAATATTTTCCAAATTTTCACAAAAATTTTTTGTACCACCCTAGTGCGCACGCAACTGGACTACATATATATAAATATACTTTGAAAAAGAAAAAAAAAATTTGTTTTCCATGTAAATAAATAACAAAAGAAAAGAAAAAATAAAAAAAAAAAAAAAAAAAACAAAATGAAAACAATTTTTTATGGAAATTCGATTTTTTTTTTCCTCTATGTCTAATATCTATCAGAAATAGAGAAGGATAGAACCATAAAATTCATAAATAGCAAGTGTGTACATATCAAAAAATACAGCAACAAAACAACAGAACAAGAACAACCAAAAAAAAAAAAAAATAAATCAAAAAATAAAAATAAATGAGTACAAAAGCATAAACATTACAGAAACCGGCAGTATGATGACGTAAGCATTAGAACATAATTTCGTGTGTATTCATTAAAATAAAAATTGCATTTTGTAATAAATGATAAAAAAAAACTAAGCAAAAACAAAAATAGAGCCTCTATAATTACATAAAATATCTATACGTCGTCACATACAAACGCACATGTACAGTAAAAAGAAAAAACGAAAAATTATTTGTTATTGAAGATGACCTCATTTTAAATAGGAGAAAGCTTAACATTTTCTCTTCTTCTCTTTATTATTGTTGTTGTATATTTTCTGCAAAGAAAATTTCAATACGGTATACGACGACATCATTTTGAGTTCACGAAACAAAACAAGGAAAAGAAAGCAAAGAAAGAAGAGAAAAAAAAAATATGTTTTTTCTTCAATTTTCACTGCACAAAAAAAAAATATAATGTAGAAGAAAGAAGAAAGGAAAGAAGAAGGAAAGAGATGGAAAATTATATGGAAATACGTCATTGTGCTAATTTTGACATTTTATGTTTTGTTTTGGTTTTTATTTTTCTTTTCTTGATTTTTCAACTTTATTTATAACTTTTTTGTTTTGATTACTAAAAAGTAAAACAAGAGAAAGGCAAAAATTAAAAAATGAAAAAAAAAAGAACTTAAAAATATTAAAGAGAGTGAAAGAGAAAAAAGAATCTAAATTCGAGAAAAGTTTTCCTGTTCATAAAATGTCATGACTGTACTATAATGGCATGATAGTGTTATAATGGTATGTATTTTGCATTCAGTAACGAATGAGGCAAAAACAAATGTTGTATGCGGTTAGCACAGAGTATGTAAGTTTCGTAAAGTAGAGTTTTAATTTTTTTTCAAATTTTTCAAGTGGTATTTTTAGTATTTTTTGTGGTTTTTGGTTTTTATATTTTTTAAAATTAAAATTTTTCTTTTTCTATTAAGATTTTTTTTTTTTTACCATTTAAAATGCTTTGTAGCGAAAATTTTTTAAAGTTTTTTCTTTAAATTTGTTTTATAATTTTATAGTTTTAATCCTTTTCGAAAAATATTGTGGAATTTCAAATAATAAGTATGCATAAGTATGCACAAGTTTAATTTACGAATTTTTCCCGGAACACTCGAAAACGGTTTGTAAATGGAACGGTTTCCTTTAATGATGCTTTTTTTAATAAATAGAAGAAAAAATTAATTTAAAAGTTAAAAATATCAATTAAAAATACAAAGTCGCTTTCTGAAACTAATGGGAGCAACGTTATACTCTTCGCACCTACTCTTTTTTATAAAAAAAACTGTAAGTATAATTTGGAGTATTATGCACTAGGAGTCTTATGCATGTACCCAATTTAATCATTAGTTCAAGAGTTTTATTAAATTAATTTTTAGTAATTTTATTAATAATATAATTTGTATAACATAAATTTTATATATAATTGAAAATATAATCTATGTATTATGTAATTTATATGGATTCCAAGAGCTATTTTGCATCGCCATATTGTGTAAATTGTCTTTACAATTTGATTATTTTCTGTATATAAGACAAGTAAACAAAATTATAAATAAATATATGGATAATGGTTTCATATTTTAATTATGAAAACAAAATTAAAGGTGAAAAATAAAAAATTTGGTGAGGTGAGTAATCGTAAAATATTTTAAAGTACCAATAAAAATAATAAATTTTCAGCTGACATAACTTCAGAAATTCAAATTTGGTTCTTAACAAATAATGTTAATTTTCTGGAAACCAAATTTTGTTGAGTATAATGTTAATACCGTTGTTAAAAAAGAATTCAATTAATAAATTTTACGAAAGTTATATCAATTATTTCCTATTCATGTAAGTAGTCAAAAATGTAAACTTGGCAGTTAGAGTACTCGTAAGTGAAGTTTCAAGGTCTGATTTTTCAGTTCATTCATACCGATTAATTCATTGGTGTAACTAGCAGTCCGTAACAATAATATTCTGTTGCTGGGATCTGACTTGTCCCACAAATTAGAAAACTCACCACATCTATTATGATAAAAACCTGATAAAATTTTTGAGTGATTTTAATCTCTCAAAAATTTAGCCTTTTTTTTTTAAATGCAGAATTAACAGACAGCAAACAAAAAGACCAAGAATCTTGCCAAAAATATTATATTTACTTTCTCTTCAATCGCATTTCCAAACGGATCATAATGAAGTTTGATATTATGGTAATACCGTTCTTATTTTATTCAATGTCTGTGTCGGTAAAAGGAAATATTTTTAGTAAAACCATAAAGTTTTGGTACACCTCGTACATATTCCACATGATAAAAAATTTTTAATTTTTATGCTTTTTTGTTTTTTTTTTTTGTTCAAATTGTAATAGATTGAAAATTTATGTATATTTTGGGTTTAAGTTGGTATTTAATGATTTTATATGCACATACATATGTATACATATATAAATACTATAATTTGTATATATATAATATGTAACAGAGTGTAATAAAAACCGAATGATAGCAGATGTATTTGAAAGAATTTCAAACAAAATTTAAAAAAAAAAGCAGAAAACAAAACATGCATTTGTTTTTTTTTATGCAAGTGCTTATTGTATGTGCTGTGCGGCTCTTAAAACAATAATAAAAAGTTTTTCAAACTTTTTTTCTCTTTCTCTTTTTGTGTTTTTTTTTCTTCTTAATTTTTTGTACAATAGTTTTGACTAAATTGTTATTGCTGTTGTTACAGAAAGAACACCATAGCCTCTACTCTCTAGTGTTATTTTACCATTGTATTTTACTGTTAAAAGTTATGTTAACGTTCATTTCTTTATGTGGTGAAATGAAAAAGTAGGAAAAAAATAACAAAAATGAAAGCATGTTTACATTTTTTTTTCTTGTTTGTTTTATTTTTGTTTTTTTTTTTTAATTTCTTTGTTTTGTATTCAAAATGCTGTTGTGTACTGTGTGTGTGTGTGTGCCTGCATATATGCGAATTTTTTTTTTCCAATACTCTTTTTCTTTATATACAATTTTTGCTTTTTTCTCTCTCCACTCTTTTAACTGATGAAGCGAGTATGTGTGTAGTACGATGCAGTTGCATTTTTTTTTTCTGTGTGTTTTTTTTTATTAAATTTTATGTTACAGTTTTTTCTTTTTTAATTTTTGGAGTCAATGAAAACTAAAACTTGCTTTTTGCGATTACAAAAATAAAAACATAAAGAGAAAAGAAAAAAATTAGAAATTCGTT